TTATTATTATTATTATTATTATTATTATTATTATTATTATTATTATTATTATTATTATTATTATTATTATTATTATTATTATTAAGTTGTTAGATCAAGTAATGTACACAAAGTAAATTTGTTTTGATACTGCGCACATGCAAAAATGTTTAAGTTATTATAATTTATATGTATGTATATAATTTCAAAATTGTAAATTACATAATAAAAATGAACGTTATAAAAATATTCATCTACATCACTATATTGATTGCATAATATGAAACGGATACTGTATTTCTTACATATTTGAAGAATCCTAACTATTAATTATTTTAAATTACTATTATTATTATTAGTATTATAATTAAATTTTAAGATATATAATATAATAATAAAAAAATATGATTACAACTTATTCAAACATTATGTTAACATAGTGATTATTGATTAGATTTCAATTACATGTTAACAAAAGAACATTATTGGATTGTAACGGAAAAGGCAAAGAACACATATTTACTTAATTTTTTGCTAACATGTTGCAATTTTTTTTAATAAAATATGAAATAGCCAATAAAAAAGTGATTAAGTTATCATTAAAAAATTGGGTTTTATTTATTTACCCATATAATCCGTTATTCTTGATGTATCTATTACTATAAAATACGGTTAAGAAAAAATGTTTGAAAAACTCGAAAATAATAGTTTCATTTCCCACTTCAAAATCCTGCTTTTTTTTAATTTTCTTACTTTTTTCAGTAAAGTTTTTTGAATCGTTTTCATAATCTCGCCTACTGATTTCAATTGTAATAGATTAATACGTATTTTGGAATCCCTTTTTTTTTAGTGATTTGGAAGAAATCAGATATTTCCTTTTTTTTTGGTAATCATGCAGCAGTAGCACTATCGTGCGCCCTGGCACACCTAGCTAGGTGTGCCAGGACAGTTTGTGCACGCGCCTCCCTCACCCCAAAAGCAAGAAAATTTGGAGAGTGTAGTGCACATTCCTATTTTTCATTTTTTAATTGAAAAATGAGACATATTACATAAATTAAAATATCATTAATTATTTATATCAAAAAAATAAAATAAAAATACCAAAATTCATAATTTTTCATTATCTAGAGACCACATTTGATAGGTTTTCGAACACAACTAATTTTTTGTTTTTTGTAATTATTTTATTATACTGACATATAATGAACATGTTACATAATAAAATGAATATGTTTTCAAATATGATGAACATGTTACAAATTGCAGACTGAAACAATACATAATATAACATGTTCATTTTATTATGTAACATGTTCATCTTATTCTATAACATGTTTATTTATATTATGTAACATGTTCATCTTATTTTATAACATGTTCATCTTATTCTATAACATGTGCATTTTATTACGTAACATGTTCACCTTATTGTGTATGTAACATGTTCATCTTATTCTATAACATGTTCATTTTATTATGTAACATGTTCATCTTATTCTATAACAAGTTCATTTTATTATGTAACACGTTCATCTTATTTTAGAACATGTTCATCTAAATTTCATCTGTGAAAATGTAACATTTTCATCTTATTCTATGACATGTTCATCTTACTCTATAACATGTTCATCTTACTATGTAACATATTCATCTAATTATAGATTTATGTCATAATCTTCCAATAAGATAAATTAATTGTAAAAAATAATAAATTAATTGTGTTCCAAAATATATCAAATGTGGTCTCTATTTGTAGAGAATGAAAAATTATGAATTTTGGTATTTTTATTTTTATTTTTTGATACAAAATATGAATGATAATTTAATTTATATAATATGATATATGAATTTTATTACCCAATAGAAATGAGATACATGTCCTATTTAAAAAAAAAAAATTGTCTTACTTCTTACCTCACGCACTTTTGGGGGAGCTGTATTTCACAAAAGGCCCTGGCACACCTAGCAAAGTGTGCCAGGGCACACCTAAGTATTTGCGATCATGCAGATAAAAGTTTGGTATAAAATCGGATGATTAAAGCTCAAATTTCGGACGAATTAAAATGAATAGATATATGAGATTAGAAATAGAAAAAAGAATCCAAATAGATTACACTTCCACAAATTTCATCATTATTTAAAAAACTAAATACCTAAAAGATTAGAAATAGAAAAAAGAATCCAAATAGATTACAACTTCAACAAATTTCATAATTATTTAAAAAAACTTATAATTAAAACGTGTTCAATTACAACTAGTGAAAATCCCGTGCGATGCACGGGAATTTTGTAATGTAAAATATTTTGCAAAACTTTATTTTAAAATGTATTAGCCCATTGATCCATCTATATTAATATATACATTTTAACTTATGTATTTATCTTTTGTACAAAAAAATAATATTTTTACATATTTTGGTTCATCATAATACTCAAATATTATTTTATACAAAAACTTATTGTCGTATAATGTCAATATTATTTATAACGTATATAGAAGTATTACTTCTTTTTTTATAATGATAAATATTTAATGTATATTAATATTATTTATTGATGTGATTAATCTAAAAATATATAAATAAATCTAATGTTTGTTAGGAATGTGATAGATCTCGATATTTTAGGTACAAATATAGGATATATATGTAAAGATATATAATATGAATATCTTGAGATTCAAAATAAATTTTATGTGATTTATTACCTAAATAAATTAGCTACAATTACCTAAATTGTATCTTTAAAACATAGCATAAAATGTTTAAATAGTTTCCATAATTAGTAACAATATTTTTTGGCGGGAAATAGTTATTATTTAAAAAATAATCAAACATTTTTATATATATATAGATAAACAACTATTGTATATCTTATCTTATGTGAATAAAATTTAATTAAACAAAATAAAAAAAATCGTGTATTTAAAACTAAATATATAACTTAAAAAAAAGCCCTCCGATTTAAAAAAATATATACTTATATATTACAAAATAAATCTAAAAATGTTAGGTTATTCTTTTTCATTTTTTTTAACTATTTAAAAATTACATTCCTATATGAATATGTTTAAAAATTACATTCCTATATAATTAGTTATAGTTAAAAGAATTCAACAGATTATAACTTCCAAAAATTGTGGAAACACATTTTCTTATTTTAATTGATAAGATTTTGGTAAACAATAAGATATTGTTAATTGATACATGATATAGTAAACAATCCGTTAATATTTTGGTAAAAAATCGGATATTGTTATTTAGTAAACAATCAAATATTGTTAATTGTTAAAAGGATATTGTTATCATACCTTTTACTTTATATATAAATTTGAACTATCATACCTTTTACTTTATATGAAACTCAAAATTACATATTTTAATGTATTAATAAAGGTTTATTATTTTTTCTTATGTGATATAATCGAAAAAGATCCTAAACAATTTTTTTGGCAAATTTCATTTTATCTTGATTTTCATATAATCACATTCCTAACAAACTAATTAATGTTATATTTTTTATCTACATTATCTAACCGATTTTTATATGATACAATTAATATAATTTCTTAACCAATTAATCATTTTTCAAAAAAAAAAAAAAAAAAATGAGTTATCCATCCTTTTACTTTATTTGAAATTCTTATTTATATTTTTAAATATATTATTATTTAATTTTTTTACATGTAAATATTTATTATTTATAATCTAAGTGATAAATATTATTGATTTATCTCTTTAATAAATATTTATTATTTATTTTTTCCTTATATGATATAATCTAAATTTGGTTATTAGATTTTTTAAACTCAAACATTTAAAGGAAAAGATCACAAGCCGATTTTTCGGGTAAATTTTATTTTATTTTGATTTTCATATAATCACATGCCTAACAAACTAATTAATCTTGTTTTTTTATCTACATTATCTAACTGATTTTTTATGATATAATTAATATAATATCTTAACTAATTAATCATTTTTCTAACCGGAATTATATCTCTAATAATATAATATCCCTCCTTTTACTTTATTTGAAATTCTAAGTTTTATTTTTAAATATATTATTGTTTATTTTTTATTACGTGCAAACATTTTTAATTTATTATCTATGTGATAAATATTATTGATTTATCTCTTTAATAAATGTTTATTATTTATTTTTTTCCTTACGTGATATAATCTAAATTTGGTTATTAGATTTTTAAATTCAAACATTTAAAGGAAAATATCACATGCGGATTTTTTAGGTACATTTCATTTTATCTTAACTTCCATACAAACACATTCCTAGCAAACTACAATTACAATTATCTAAATGGAATTTTTAAAATATAAGTAATATAATATTCTGACTAATTAATCTTTTGTCTAACCGAATTTATCTTATTAACAAACTTTCCAAAATTTTTTAAATTAAAATAGTAAGATTATTCTTACGGGTATACTTACCAGAATATTAAACACTTTAAAAACTTTTTGAAAACAAATTTAAATTATTTCGTCTTCTGCTCTATTTGAAATTCAAAATTCAATTT